GAAATGACCTTGAAATGTTAGTTTAAAAAAATGGTCAAAACGTATCTGGACGTAAAATTTTCCGCTCTTTCTGATTCCGGGGTCAAAAAAATTAAATATTCGAAATTAAGGTGTTTGACCTTGAGTTGACCTTGATGCTTACGTGATGGGGTCATACGGACACCGGCATCGTAATCAGCGACCCCAAAAACATAAAGGTCACCTACGCTTGGAACATGTCCACCTCAATTTCCCTTTGTGGTCCTGTGTTATCTTTTCCGTGAACATTATTCTGATATATACTGTTTATTGCTTCCTTACTTTTTAAGTATTTAAATACTTAAAAACTATTTTTGTTGTTCATTGTAGAATTTAGATATTCTTTTAGTTTTTGATATTTCAATATGTCAAAAACTAGGGAGCATTTAGAAAGGTGTTTCAATCCATTAGAAATACCAAATCATCGTGGAAAAGGTTTACGTCCAATTTCAAAAAAAATTCGTGAAAGGTTTCCTGATGCTCATGTCAATTCGAAGATATGTGCTAATTGTAGGCTTCAACTTGGAAAGCAAAATAATGCCTTTCATTCGAAACAATTTGATCCTAACAATAGCAACTCACATAAAACCGTTGATACTGATATAATCAATGACAGTATCAGTGATTCAGAAACAGATGATATTCCATTTGTTAAATCTTTTAGACTTGAAGAGTTAGAAGATTTATTTTGTGGTTTGAAGGACAAATTCTTAAGCTTGCCTGCAAATGATCCTATAAGATTCACGATTCTTACCGTAGCTCCATTATCATGGAGCATTCGCAAAATAGCTACAGAATTTGGAACCTCACGACGAATAGCTAAAAAAGCCAGAACTTTAAGATAAAATAGTAAAGTTTTAGCTTCAACCACTTCTAAGGCTGGAAAGAGGTTACCTGAAGATACTGTGAATAAAGTAAGTTTTAGTGCATTTTCTAAGCTTCGGACAAAACATTGCGTTTTCGCTGGAGGTTCCGGTACACATTCTGTATGTGTATGCGTAATTCACGAAAATTGTAAATTAATGCTTGATGCGCTAAACATTAAGGAGATTACAAAAACAATGAATCAACCAATTGAAAATTATAAAGATTGTCTGCGACTCATTACATGTAAGGATCCAACTGCATTATGTCTTTTAGCTAACTACAAAGACTGCCCTAGCATTGAAGACTTCTCAAAAATGATGATAAATATTTTAAACGAAGCATGCATCGAGAGTGTTTTATGCAGTTTATGGACATCAACTGACAGATCAAATTTAATAACGAGCAAATTATCGAACATTGAATTTGTTGATGAACTTTGCCAAAAACTAATTAAACTGAAACCACATTCATTCATATCTAAGAAGCAATCAATGTACCTTGAAGATAGGAAGCAAAATTTGAAAGAAGCAGAAGTATTAGTACTGTATGATTTTTCCGAGAACTATGCCTACATTGAGAGAAGAAAAGCACAGAATCCGTAATGTGACGAACGCCGGCTGTGTAAAATGGGTGTCAGTATCGGTTCTTTAGTTTTGTTCAGTTGGTGTCGTTCAGAATTCAGATAATAAGCTCTAGCAACGCGGCAGCGGTGTGAACTAAGTTATACGGAATCTGTCTCATAGCGACCGACAGATACTGTACTTCTGAACAGTTCATATCTGTGTACAGTATCTATACTCAAGCCAATTACAACATTCATTTTACATTTTAGTATGGCATCTATCACACAGTGACGCAGCTGCTGCTCTCAACTTGGTGTACAGATGCTGAACTTCTCCTTTTCAGATTCCGTGCTTTTCTTCTCTCAGTGTACGTAATACAAAATGCTTCTCAAGCATTTCATTATAATAATGATCAATGCACTTTAATGCCAGTTGTTTATTACTATAATGATGGTAAAGAAATAAAACATAAAAGTCTTGTGTTTTTGTCTGACTGTTTAAAACATGATACAACAGTTGTTTATGTTGTTCAAGGACAATTGTTAAAAGAAATAAAAAAGAATACGAAAGTGAGTCGTGTTATTTATTACTGAGATGGTGCAAAACAGCATATTAAAATTCGGTACCAAGTGTCTAATTTATTAAAGTATGAAGATGATTTTGGAATTCCAGCAGACTGGTATTTTCATGCAACGGCACATGGCAAAAATTCTTACGGTGGCATAGGGGCCATTTGAAAACGCGAAGCTACCGGAGCAAGCTTACAAGCATCTGGTACTCAGTCAATTACAAATTCGACAAGTCTTTTTAATTGGGCAAAACAACATTTCTCTCAACTTGAGGTTATATATTTTAGTAAGGAAATGCATAGAAAAGCAGAAATGCACCTCAAAAAACGCTTTTCTGATGCCAAAGCAGTTCCAAGCATTTCGACGCAACATGCTTTTATCGCACTTCTATCGAAAAAATTACTATTAAAAACACACTCTTTTGCTGAAGATGGTATAATTTTTTCATAAACTTAAAATATGAAACAAGTAATTTTATTTCAATTTTTAGCTTTTTAAAGTCATCCTTTAAAACTAATAATTAAAATTTATAAGCTAAAAATTTAGGCCAAATTAGATCTGCCATTATAAATTTTAAAAAACTGATATTAAATTCGTAACCAGCGACTTCGAAAACCACCGAGTAGTCATTATTACAAGACTAGCTTAATTTTTTAATTCTATCCGCCATTTTGAATTTTAAATAGAGATTTGTCATCAACCATTTAAAAATTTTTTAAAACTGACATCGGATTTGTAATCAGCGACCAAAAAAACCCCTATGTAGACATTTTTACGAAATTAGCTCAATTTTTAAAAGTTTTTGTCCTCCATTTTGAATCCGCCATTTATAATTTTTAAAAACTGACATAAAATTTGTAAGCAGCAACCTCGAAAACCCCCGAGTTGTAATTTTCACGAGCCTAGCTCAATTTTTAATTTTATCCGCCATATTTTATTCGACATTTTGAATTTTTGAATTTTGAAAGGAGATACGTTATCAGTTTGTAAGTAAACTATGTTGTCGTTATTTTTATCGTCATATGTGAAGCTTTAAATAATAATATAGATCACATTAGTGGATTTTTTGTGTTTTTTATGTCGTTTAGGCGCCATATTTAAGTCGACATTTTGAATTTCAAAAAGCGCCCAACGGGATTAAAAAGTAGACATTCCAAGCTAATTTTTCCAATATGCTAAATTTTTTTTAAATTAAACCAATTATGGAGAGATGGGGTGGTACGGTTGACAAAGAACGTCCCTAATATATTTATAATAAGTTCCAAGTTTACGTATTTAAGAAAGAATTCGACATTTTCATTCTAATTTTATATTTCTATATACGTAGTATAATAAAATTCTTTTTAGTGTATTTACAATGTTTATAGTGTGTTCAATCAAATGATTAAAAATTGTTTCTGAAATAAATATTAATTTAGTTATAAAATAATAACAGCAATTTGTATGGATAATTTAATAATTTTATAATTGTGTTATATGAACCCGTCTTTCGATTCTTATCATTATTTTTATAAATTCAAATTTAATACATCTATTTTTATTGAAACTGAACCATAAAAGGAGTAACTAGGGTGTCTAGACACACCATAAATATTCAAATTTCGACAAATTTTTCTTTTTTTGTTTTCGTTTTTTCAACTTTTTAGCAATTTTTTTTTAATTCGTCGAAAAATCAATAAAAATATTGTTTTACATACTAAACAAGTAGTAAATTCAGATGTTCATTACATGAACATTTTGCTTCCTCTTTACGATCAGCAAAAAAATTTACTTCCTCGTGGAGAAAGCAAAATTTTATTGACAAAATGTGAATTTTTGATTTTTTAACTTTCATTAATTCTTTAAATTTACCTCAAATGTATACTTTATATATAGCGATCGATTCGTCTTGACGTAAGGAATACAGTTTTATTATATATAACATTAAATTTTTCTATTTAAAAATTTTTTCGATTAAAAGAAAATTTTTGGAAAAAGAAAATAAAATTTTTTTGTGGGGTATTTTTCAAAGTCCTTTGGTCAGATTTTTTTGAGATATTAATATGATAAATGAGCCTGCCAAATTTTATCTAAATCCATTAAAACCTGTTAAAGTTATCTTCTAAACAAAAAAGGGATCCACACACACATACACACACATACATACATCCGGACAATTGATCAGGATCTCATATAACATGTTTCTATAAAGAAAAAAATTTGTTTTCGCCACTTTGAAAAGTTTTATAAAAGAAAGGACTACAAAGCTTCCACCGCGAGGAAGCAAAAACAAATAAAAATCACTATATATAATTAATTTTCTGTCAAATCTACACCTTTATACACAAGTTTCAAGTTGGGGTGTAAGATCTTTATTGATTAGTGTATGAAATATAAAATATTTTACAAACAATTAATATTATTTTAATTCAAAAGTTAGACGACATACTTCGATAAAAATGTTGGTTTCCATTATGGTGATGATTGAACGTTCCTGAAATAATTAATAAAGATAATCTTTTGATTGTTATTATTATTTATATAAATTCAAAACTTAACACATACATTTTACTAAAAACTAAATGAAATGTTTGTCTTTTTTTAAAAAATGAATTAGTCTATTTTTTATCTCATAAAATATAGCTATGTTTAATAACACAGCCCCACAAAAAAAAAAAGTGTCGTGCGCGGCAGAACAGACTAGTCATTTCCCATGTATTTTGACGCGCTGAACACGAATCCGAAGTCCGTTTTGCTCCATCACGTCAGGATTTTTTTCTAACCTCCAAAAACCTGTCGGATTTTGAGAGGTAGGCTATTTTTTTTAAAAATTGATGGATTTACTTCAAAATTGGTATCTAGGGGTCTTTTGGGTCGCTGATGACGAATTTGAAGTTAGATTTTCAAAATTCAAAATGTCGGCTCCAATATGGCGGACGAATTTTGTAAAAATTGATGGATTTACTTCAAACTTGGTATCTAGGGGTTTTTTGGGTCGCTGATTACGAATCTAAAGTTAGATTTTCAAAATTTAAAATGGCGGCTCCAATATGGCGGACGATATCGACCCTTCAAAGGTGATAATTCCGCCCTTACACACGAAACTAGGAGCAATTAAACAGTTTGTCAAAGCCTTAGATAAAAAAGGAAACTGTTTCAAATACCTGGAACAAAAGTTTCCAGAAATCTCTGATGCGAAACTAAAAGAAGGGGTTTTCGATGGACCACGTATTCGCAAATTGTTAAAAGATGAGCAATTTATCACCAAGATGAATAAAAAGGAGAAAGCCGCATGGCTTAGTTTTAAAGCAGTTGTCGAAAATTTTCTGGGTAATCACAAGAGTGAAAATTGGGAGCAAATAGTTAGTGATATGATTAAAACCTTTGGTAAGTTAGGATGCTTAATGAGCATAAAGTTGCATTACTTAGACTCGCATCGGGATCAATTCCCTGAAAATTTGGGAGATTACAGTGAAGAACAAGGAGAACGATTCCATCAAGATCTGAAAGAATTTGAGCGTCGTTATCAAGGAAGATGGGATGTAAATATGATGGCCGACTACTCTTGGATGCTGAAAAGGGATATTGTACCTGGAGGCACCAATTTGAAAAGAAAACCATTACACAAATCCTTTGAGGACAAAAGAGTGCGCTACCATAAAAAGACGTGAATACCTTACTTATGTATATAAGAATTTTCATTTCTAGTTTTGAAAATCTAACTTCAGATTCGTAATCAGCGACCCAAAAAACCCCTAGGTACCAAGTTTGAAGTAAATCCATCAATTTTTACAAAATTCGTCCGCCATATTGGAGCCGCCATTTTAAATTTTGAAAATCTAACTTTAGATTCGTAATCAGCGACCCAAAAACCCCTAGATACCAAGTTTGAAGTAAATCCATCAATTTTTACAAAATTCGTCCGCCATATTGGAGCCGCCATTTTGAATTTTGAAAATCTAACTTCAAATTCGTCATCAGCGACCCAAAAAACCCCTAGATACCAATTTTGAAGTAAATCCATCAATTTAAAAAAAAAATAGCCTACCTCTCAAAATCCGACAGGTTTTTGGAGGTTAGAAAAAAATCCTGACGTGATGGAGCAAAACGGACTTCGGATTCGTGTTCAGCGCGTCAAAATACATGGGAAATGACTAGTCTGGTCTGCCGCGCACGACACTTTTTTTTTGTGGGGCTGTGTAATTGTATGAGGCAAATCAAAGACAAATTTTTTTTCTAAGAAAAAAACTTAATATGGTGCAAAATAAAAATTATTAAACAAACAATTACTGTTATTTTAATTCAAAACTTAGAGGACATACTTAAATTATATAATGCAACAGTCTTTTAAGTATAAATGACGTCATTTTTTATCAGATATGATTTATACTAAAATATTATTTATTACTTTTGAAAAATATAAATAAATTTTCGATTATTTTGAAAACAATTTATGGCAATATTCGAAGGAATAGAAAAAATTTAATGAATTATAATTATTTATTGTTATTAATATTTTCATTCTTATTAAAGACTTTTATTTTAAACAGATTCGATGTTTACATTAAATTTAGAAAATGTAATATAAAAGTTATTTTTATGAAAAAGTTTCTATTTTCAAAATCAAAAAAAGATGTCGTTAATTGAAGACCAAAAGACGTCTGCAAAAAGACATCATTAGGGCGTCTTTGGAATCGATGTGCCCACTGGGCATGCAGAAAAATTTAAATATTTACCTTGACTTGATGCACCAGCTTCACTGCGATAAGTTGTGTTATTATAATCTCGTGAATTATGTCTTGAATAATTTTTGCTTCGTGATTCTTTTTGCACATCTAAATATTACAATTCAAAATAAACATATATATTGTACATAAATTTTAATATCATTGCCTTGATTTTTCTAAAAAATAAATTTGATTTTTTCGAAGTAAAAGTCCATTTTTTGAAATCTAAAGATGTGGTTTTTTTCTACCAAAGTATAAAGTTAAAAATAAAAAAAGGGTTATCAATTATTTTATGTTTAAATTTAAATTTTCGATCTTTTATCTTTTATTTATTTTTTAAATTAAACTAAAAAAATACTTTATTCATGACAATTGATTCGATTCAATACAATGAATTTAATTATTTTATGTTCAAACTTGTATTTAAACAAACACAAAATTTTTTAACTAACCTATCAATTTTTAGTTATGTACTCTGCTCAACTTTCATTTGAAAGTATTTTTTCGATTAAAAAAAATTCGTAATTTCCTTTTTTTACATATGTAACGCGATCTGAAGAAAAGGACCTTAGAAGCAAAAAATTATAGGTTACGTTTAGAAATTTTAAAGTGAAAATACACAAAGACGTTCAACTCGTAATGCAAACTAATGATATTTAGGTCTTCATTGCATTCAAAATATTCAATAAAAACTGATTTTAGTTTTACAAAAACAAAAATAAACTTTTAGTTCAAGTAAAACTATTGTAAACATAACCAATAATTCATTTGCTTCTAAGGTCCCTTTCTTCAGATCGCGTCACATATGCGAATAAAAAATTTTTTAAAAATTATTATTAAAGATTTTATATAGTACTTAAAATGATTTATTATTAATAAAATTAGATTAAAAAAGTTAACATTGATTATTTAAAAAAATTTAATAATGATAAAATTAATTTTTTACCTGTATTAGTTGCAACATTTGTAAAAGCATTTTCTTCTTTTTAAAATGACTTCTCTCATCTAATTAAAACATTAATTATAATTAATATTGAACATAAAAAATGTTTTAAATATTTATGAAATATTTAACACAACTACAATTTTAATTGATTCATATTAGCTAAATTAGATTACCTTTAAATTATGATGAATAATTAAGATTACCTTTATTAGGTTGCTCAATTCTCTTAACAATTCCATTTAAAGCATTGACAGTTACGTTGTTAGAATGTTCTCCTAATTTAAAAAAAATACCTTTAAAATTGTCATATAATATATTTTCATAAAATTATTAACCCTTAGAAAAATTTCATTTTTAATTAAGATAATAACTCCCATGCTTAGACAAGTGAAAATATCTTCCCATTTAATGCATAAAAGGGGGCCGTAGAACAAATACTGACTTTTGACTTCAAAATTTAAAAAAGTTAATTGGTTTAAAAAAATTGTTATAAACAAATTTCAAAAATTCCAAAAAGAAGATGGTTACTGTAAAAACTAAAATTTAAATTACTGTAAACATAATTTATTTGATTCAAGTAATCGTTTACTTGAATATTACCAAATAAATTTTTCAAATAAATTAATTGATGTAAAATTACAATAAATCAAAAAAAAATTAATTTAATGCAAATAAAAAAAATTTTCCAATTACATTTCCTATCATTACATAATATAAATAATTTAAATGTTACTTAAATAATAAAATTATTAACCCTCTAACAAACAAATGTGCTACTTTTAGACTTTTATTTCAATTTCGTTAAATTAGAAAAACAACATAAATATAGGAAACCAGAAAAACATACATATAACAAGTTTTATTTGCTAATTTAATTTTTAAATTAAATTAATAATAACATTTACTTACCGATTTTACAATTTGTGTGTCACATAATTAATTTATATCCAATATTAAAAAACTTAATAAAATTAAACTGAACTATTTCAAACTAAATTGTTCACTTCACTATATATGTTAACACTGAAATAGGAGAACACAGTCAACTGATGTTTTTGATATTTTGTATTTATACCTTTTTAGTTTCCTTATATTATAAGCCTAATTAATATACAAAATACCGTAATCAATAAAAAAATATTTACCCTATTTTTAATTTTTTTTCGATTTTACAAAAAAGAAAATTCTTTATTATTTTTGTTTAAAATAAATTCAATTATTGAAATAAATTATATATGAATGTGTATAAATTTATATTATTGTATGGAATAAAAAAACAATAATTAAAAATTTAAATTATAATAATAATAATAAATATTAAACATTAATTTTATTATGGACAATACAATTAAAACTTACTTGAAATGAATAAATAAAATTAACTTAATAGCTAAAAATCTTCTCTTTTTCAATACTAGAATGAAATACTTGTCCCTTCTCTGAAAAACAACAGATGATAATCATACAACTCTATTGGAAATAGTATATGTTTTGATAATTTTTAATAAGTTTTTTTGAATATAAAAAAAATTAATCAAACCGTTACACACAATCATATGATTTACAATAGAGGGAAAGATATCATTATTCTGACTCATGCATTGTTTTCAAATATTGTTGACATACAAATAATTTATACTGCTCTCTATTTATCTAAAAACATTATATTCAAATTAAGATTTTTAAAGGAGAATAAAAAATTAAATAACTCATAACTAGTAAATTTATAAAGTTTAAAATTTTTATTAATAATTATCATGAATTTAAATAAATTATTATTTACATTATTATTAATTTTAATATTATTATTATTTAAACTGTAGTAATATACAGCACTTAAAATTTTCAGGTTAACATTATATTATTAATCAATAATAACACAGGCACACAAAAAAAAGTTGTCTGTTTCTTGAACTAGACATATATTTCCTGTAGTATTTTGGCCCGCTAAAACCGAATCTGAGCTCAGAATTGCTTCATCACCCTCAGTTTTTTTTAAAATCGACCAAAACCACCCTTAACCCCTTCACTGTTACTGACCTCTATAGAGGCAAAAATAAGTCGTGCCACCAGTGTGCATGACCGCTATAGCAGCATCTTAAAAATAAAATAGTTTTACTTAATATAATATTAATGTTAATAAAAACATACAATATGATAATATAAGATTTAAAAAAAAAAATTTTTTTTTGCACACTGGTGGCACGGAAACACGATTTTTGCTTCACAGCGAAGGGGTTAAACGGACAAATTTACACTTCGGAGATAAAAATTAAATCAACTTATTTTTTTAAAAAACTGAATTTTACATCTACAAAACTTTGCTCCACTAACTCAAAAACAAAGCCAGAAATGCTCCCTCACCCTCTAAATTTTTTTTAAATCGAAAAATCCACCCTAAAATAGAAAAATTTAAATTTAATGAGTAAAAAATATTATATTACCGGTTTTTTTAAAAACAGAACCTTAAATGTATGTAGTTTTTCTCTTCTAACTCAATAAAATAAAGCCAGCATTGATCCATCACCCTCTGAATTTTTTTAAATCGAAAAAACTACCCCTAATCTGAAGAATCAAATTCAGGAGGTAAAACAATAAAATAACTGATTAAAAAATTTTATAACCATGTATTTTTACTCCAGCAAGGCAGAAACAAAGCCAGAAATGCTCCCTCACCCTCTAAATTTTTTTTAAATCGAAAAAACCACCCTTAAATAGAAAAATTCAAGTTTAATAAGTAAAAAATATTACATTACCGGTTTTTCTAAAAACAGAACCTTACATGTATGTAGTTTTGCTCTTCTAACTCAAAAAAATAAAGCCAGCATTGTTCCATCACCCTCTGAATTTTTTTAATCGAAAAAACTACCCTTAATCTGAAGAATCAATATTAGGAGGTAATACAATATAATTATATTGTCTTACCTCCTAAGTTTGATTCTTTGGTGGTTTTTTCGATTTAAAAAAATTTTCGAGAATGAGGGAGCATTTCTGGCTTTGCTTCCGCATTGCTGGAGTAAAAATACATGGTTATAAACTTTTTTAATCAGTTATTTTATTGTTTTACCTCCTAAGTTTGATTCTTCAGATTAAGGGTAGTTCTTTTGATTAAAAAAATTCAGAGGGTGATAAATCAATGCTGGCTTTATTTTATTGAGTTAGAAGATCAAAACTACATACATGTAAGGTTCTGTTTTAAAAAAAACCGGTAATATAATATTTTTTACTCATTAAATTTGAATTTTTCTATTTTAGGGTGGATTTTTCGATTTAAAAAAAATTTAGAGGGTGCTGGATCAATGCTGGCTTTGTTTTTGAGTTAGTGGAGCAAAGTTTCATAGATGTAAAATTCAGTTTTTTAAAAAATAAGTTGATTTAATTTTTATCTCCGAAGTGTGAATTTGTCCGTTTAAGGGTGGTTTTGGTCGATTTAAAAGAAATCTGAGGTTGATGGATCAATTCTGAGCTCAGATTCGGTTTCAGCGGGCCAAAATACTATAGGAAATATATGTCTAGTTCAAGAAACAGACAACTTTTTTTTTGTGTGCCTGTGTAATTTTATGAATTGCTGCATAACAATTAAATTAGATAAAAAATACATCAAAACTACTATAAAAAGTTTTAAGATTCAAGTAATGGTCTCTCAAGTAAAAATTTTTTGGTCAAAGAAAATGTATATTTTTATAATAATATTCAAGTAACCTATTATTTGTGTCAATTAAATTTTTTCAATATATTAACAGATATAAATATACTATGTCCAAAAGAAATGTTATTCAAAGCAACAAAAAAATATTTTTATGCAAAGAATATTTTATGTATGTATTACTATATATTTTTTTAAAATGAAAATGTTTTTCGTACTTTGAAATATTTGTAGTATAACGAAATTATTAAATTAATTAAATGTTGTTAATTAATAACCCCTTTTTAAAGTTAGAAAAAGATACCCAACGTGAAAATTGTTAGACGCCAGCCAATTTTTGAATGGAATTGGCAAACCAGAAAAATCACAAATTTCACGAAATAACCCCAAAACGACACAACAAAATTGGACTTACCCACGACGACAAAATCAGCACACAGCTTCCTCTCGGCAGGTCCTCGTGGTCGGAGAAAACAAACCGCAGTCGGGAAAATGGGCTTATTAAAAAAAAAGGCACACTTTCACACTTTTCCTTTTCTTTATTTCAAATGAGTCGAACTCTGTTCGACTCCTTCTCTACACACGCTACTCTCTACACACTGTGTCACAAGACACTTTTCTTAAACAAAAACAAAACTACTAAATCTCTCGACACACGCTCTAAGACTCTACACGCTCTCTCTGTATTCTCGCATTGATTTTTTACTTCGATCGCCTTCGTCTCTGTCTCGTTCCATAAGTGGCCGCCGCGATGGCGCCACCTCCCGGACTCCTGCGTTATCTCTGCTCCAAATTCCAAACGCGCGAAACTCAACCCGAGTTTCCCTTGTCGACTACATGGAGGACCAATTTTTGTCCAAGGTCCTTGAAGCCTTTGTCGTTGATCTCGTTCCCTTTGTCTCATATTACCCTTGTAGAAATTCCTCCTCGAATCTTAAATTATATTATCATTAGTAAAATTTACTGAGTTCGTAGGGGGAGATATCGTTTAAGGTCTGAGACATGGATTTTAGGAACACGACAACTCTCGTTATCGCGTAAGACAAAAACTGTAGGTGATAATTTCTCTACGATCTCGAAGGGGCCTTCATATTTCGGTGCGAGTTTTGTCGCGAAATTCCGTGTACCACTCGACAATTTGTGTGATTTACGGAGTACTAGATCACCCACATTAAACAACCCCTCACGTCGATTACGGTTATAGTACTCGGTCTGTCAATCACGTTCTTTGTCGATAAATTTCGCTACCAAGTCTCGCAACGCATCCAACCTCTTTACCCTGTCTACCCAATCTACTGGCGCAATTCTCTTAACCTGATCTCGTTGTTCTACCTCCCGTCGCAAACTTTTAACCGGTCCAGGATGTCTTCCGTAATTTAAAAATGCGGGAGACGTTTTAGTCGCCACCTGTGTCGCAGTGTTCATAGCATGGCGAAACTCGTGAACATGAAGATCGCAGTCGCGATGATCATTCCCTATGAAAGTCGCAATCATGGTCTTCAATGTGCGCTTACTCCTCTCCACAGGATTAGCTTGCAAGTGGTAGGGTGGTGTGGTGATGTGTTTGACACCATATTCCTGAAGCGTTTCCTTCAGGAACTTGTTGTCGAACTCCTTCCCATTGTCTGTTAATGAAATGTCAGGGGTTTCCCAGCGAAAGAGGACCAATTCTTCAAATGCTGTGGCAACCGACTTTCCATCAGCTGATCGCAACGGTTTCACCTTAACTCACCTCGAGAAAAGATCTTGGAACACGACAAGATATTTACACCTACTCTTGCTTGGTGGAAACTCCATCATGTCCGCTGCCACTACAGCCCAAGGTCGCTCAACTATCCTCTGTCCCATTAGTCCTGCCGGTCCTGCTTGTGATGCCTTGTGAAGCTGGCACTGGGGACATCGAGTGACATACTGGTGGACATCATTCCAGATTCCTTGCCAGTAATATTCTCTCGCCACTCAATTGTACGTTTTCTCCACCCCCAAATGACCTGCCGACGCCAATCCATGGCCGTCGTAGAGAACTCTCTCTCTGTACTCCTCAGGTACCACCAGTTTCCAACCATCCTCGTCGCCAACAATCGGAAGGAGTAACGGGTCACTCCTATGTCGATAAAGATGATCGGTCTCGATTTTCCATCCAGGAAAACGCTCCGGGAATTGTCGAACTAAATCTCGTCGCTTAAGGTACCATTGGTCCATAATGGTATCAAAGGCATCGATCATCTCTTCGTCATCCTCACTCATTCTGGACAATGCATCTGGGACTTGGTTCAATGCACCTCTCCTGTGAATGATTTCAAAATCCCACACCTGCATTACCAGGGCCCATCTCGCTAGTCGACCACTCGGGTCTTTCAAGTTTCTAAGCCACCTTAGGGCACTATGATCTGTGATCACCTTAAACTTGTATCCCTCGATATACGGTCGCAACTTCCTAATCGCCCACAGCAACGCTAAACACTCCTTCTCCGTGACGCTATAATTCCGTTCTGCCCCTGTCAGAACACGGCTGATATACATCACCGGATGTTCACCGTCGTCAAACTCCTGAGTCAACACAGCTCCAATAGCAAAACTACTCGCATCACATTGGATAAATCTCGAATATCACCCACCATGCCCAAAAATCTCCGGAGTTGTTTGACGTTCTTTGGCGCCGGATAGTTTCTCACTGGCTCGGTTTTTTCGGGGTCTGGTCGCAATCCTTCATTGTCGAGAAGATACCCCAAGTAAGTAACCCTAGAGCAACCAAACTCACATTTCTCTGGGTTAACCACAAATCCCGCGTCTGCCAACTTTTTCAAAACTATCTCCAGCCATTTCACGTGTTCGTCGAAAGTATCTGTCACAATTATTATTGCCACAGTCCTGAGCCGGGGATGGCAAAGACCGTGTACTTTCTGCTCTCTTCTGCCATTGGAATTTGGTGATATGACAATTTCAAATCAATCTTTGACAAGTATCGCGCCTTCCTCAACTTGTCAAGTATGGAGTCTATCGTCGGAATTAAATAGGCGTCCTTGACGGTAACCTTGTTGACATCCCTATAGTCCATACACATTCGAAAATCTCCATTCCCTTTTCTGGCAATCACCGGCGCACTCCTCCAGTCGCTACTTGATGGTTCGATCACGCCTTGCCCATGTAGTTGAATCATATGTCCTTGAGCCCACTTGATCATAATAGGTGACATGCGTCTCTGGCGTTGCTGTACTGGTGTCTCGTCTGTAACCCTTATATAATGTTCTGTCAGATTTGTCACCCACAGTACGTCAGATTCTGGAAGAACCAATCTGTTCACCATTTCTTAAATGATCTCTCATTGTTTGTCCGTCAACGCAGAGATTCCAGCGCATTCAGCGTAGATCGACTCATCACTCTTAATCCCATCCTTGACGCCAAAAACATGCCAGTCGCCATTGAGAACTCTCCATAACCCCAGTCCCAATTGTACCTCCATATTCCAGGCTTTACAGAAGTCCACACCCAAAATTATGTCTTGTACTACCGAACTAAGGACCTTGACGCTAAACGGTTGAGAATGGCCATCCACCTCGATGTTCAAATTCAACAATCCAGATGTCTCAATTACTCCTCCAATGGCGCTTCTTATCGATGTATTGCAATGCTGGATGCAGTTCTTATAAGGCTCAGCCACTCTGTCGCTAATCACCGAGATCATCGCTCCAGGGTCGAAAAGTGCCTCATAAGATTTGTCGCCAATGGTCATTCGAAAGAAATACGATTTTCCATACGACTGCCGTCTACATTCTTGTCGAATAAGGGTTCTGGGTCAGCTGTGCCCGTCACAGCCTTTCCCCTCCCCTGGACTATTGGTACTGACTCCATTTCAGTATCTTTAGTCCCATCTGTCACTAACACGTTTTTGAGTGAATGCTCTCCACTCATTTGGCTTTTTGGTACCTGTGTCACAAATTTAAATGAATTCTATTCATTTAATTCGTCACTACCAACTCTCTCATCACTGCGTTTGAGTGGTCCCTTCCCACTCTGTTGCCCACTACAGGATGCAACCTCATTGATGGGGAAAAATTTTAACCCTCTTAGTTTACTCTTCTTTTCCCCTGATCCTTTTCCAACCCTGGTCGCTACCCCGTCGTTAAGAATCGGTTTTAATGATTCTTCAGTGGGTTGGAGGGGGGTACAGACCCGCTCTGTGCCCCCCATTGTCCGTTTCCCAAAGGGGCCCTCACTTGGGCGCAATTCGGACAATTAAGGAAATTCACGTCTGGTGATCGACAAACAAGGCATGATTCAACCTGGACTCTAGCTGGGCACTATGCCGCGAAATGACCACGCTGTTGACAAACAAAGCATGTCCTCATGGGGCATTCCGAAACTTTGTGTCCGACCATCTGACCTGTGAAACATGCCCCCACAAATGGCTTCGACCCGCCCGTCGCAATTTGTGTTGTATGTCCAGTGTTTCCAGCTCCTTGTTTTGGTGGAAATTGGCGCTTGTCTTTCCCAGCGGCCACTGTCGCAAAAGTAGGAGTAGGGTTAGAAGCCCGTATCGGAGTCGCGGATGGCTGAGGACTTGATTGCTTAATTGCATTCACCTCTATAATCCCCTTCTCAGAATCAGTCTTCTTTGTCATCTTCGACTTTTTCCCCTTACTCTTCTTTTCGACCACCTACTCTACCTCGCTACCCGTCGCTGACTCGTCTTCTAATGCCGCTATCTTCTTGGTCTCTTTTGAGGAAGATGGCCTTTTCTCATCCTTCTTCGTACCCTTATAAGCCGCGGCGGGAAAACGCATTTTCTCTTCAGGGGGAGGGGGAACGTATCTGTCGTCGAGATCTTGAACCTTTTCGAACTGTCGCAAATTTCTCTCTAATTTCGAGAGTGATTCTAACCCCGATGAATCAACTTGTTTCCGATAAGTGGGGGTGAGTCCCTTATACGCGATTTTAACCTGTTCCCTGGTCGACAATGGTTTCCTAAGATGCCCCATTATAAGTCGCAAACTGGTTATGTAGGAGGATATTTTCTCCCCTTTCGCTTGAGTCCTACTCCTCATCTCGTCTATCACTTCGTCGTCATCAATGGTCGTTAAATACTCTCGTCGAAAAGCTTTTTTAAATGACCTCCACTAACTAATTTCTTTACGAATTGTGCGGAACCACCTACTCGCATTACCCTTAAAAATGCTGGGAAGTGTTTGGAGGAGATCTTCGTCGCTTATCATGGCGCAATCTCGGCAGTCTTCAATTCTCTCCAAGAATTCTTCGGGATCTTCTCGCTCTTCACCCGAGAACTTAATATCCCAATCTTTTAGAGTCCTATTGACTTTATTTCGTCGAGAAGCTTTACGAAAATCTCTTCGTATCTAAGTTCGGTCACTTACGTCCGTTTCGTTATTTGTGGGGATCGACGCTGTGGACATCACCGGTGGTGATTGTGGAAAGGGCGGTGGAGGGGACGGAAAGTCATCGGTGGTCGGACTTGGTCTGCTGTGCGATGATTTATCTCCCAACCTTTTTCTTATGGCCCCTTTATTTTGTTGATCTCCCAAAAATCTCAAGTCACGAATCGACCGTGAATTTTTCTCTTCGTCGCTGCTCGAATAAAACTCGCTTCCTCTTTAAAAGATTTACTTTAGGCAATAAATTTTCTTCTGTGAATGCCTCAAACTGAAAAACTTTGACTGAGTTCCCTTTATCGTACTCGTCGCAAAAGGGTACGTCAATTTGTGAGGGAAGAGCGAGTTTCAGTTCTGCCCGAAACAGTCGTTCTCGCAAAACTTGTAACGAGCCACTAATACATAATTGATTAGTCAACAGGCTCGTTACCACTTGTCCTACAGGCATTCCTAAAATCATTTGCCACAATTCCTTCGCCTGTGGGATTGTGATCAAGTGACGCATCCTTTCTTTATAGAAATGCATTCGTTCAATAGCCTCTGCCATCTTGAACGCTCAAAAAATTTAATTGTCGAAAAACACACAAAAAAAAAATTTTTAAGGGGTGCTCGTTCCCTACTAGACACGGCACTGGTCAATAAAAAAAGAAATTCCGTAAAATAATCGAGTCGCCACAAAGAAAATTTTTTTCTCTTAAAAATTTTCACGCAAAATTGTAAATTAATTTTTTGAAGGGCCCGTCGATCAATAATTGACACGGCCCTGGTCAATAATTTTTATACACTTGCTTGACTAGTCGCAAAGGAAAATTTTACTCCCTAAAATTTTTCACTTATTTTGGAATTCTAGAAATAGAGGGTGCCAATTTTATAGGTACGGCCCTGACAATTAAATTCAAATTAACACCACTTGACTTTTCGCAAAAATAAATTAACGCAAAAATTAACCTGTCACAAAAATTAAATTTGGTAAAAATTATAATTTTTAGGGCCCGCTCACTATTAGTTACGGCACTGGTCACTCGTAAAAACTCAATTTTATAACCGGGTCGTCATTAACAGAATTTTTCCCATTAAAAATTCTCAGGTAAAATGTCAATTAATTTTTAATAGGGCCCGTCGGTCCGTTGACACGGCCCTGGTAAACAAAAAGAAAATTCAACAATTACTTGACTTGTCGTTAAGGAAATGTTACCCACTAAAATTTCCAATTATAATTAAAGAAATTTTTAAAGATGACCGTCGCGATAATAATACGGTCCTGGATTAATTTTTGTTTATTTAACAAATTTTTTTTTTAAAAGTCACACTAATCGACTCTCAATTCTATTCCACACGTTTCATTTAAAATTTTCAATTTCTCGACTCATTGAAAATTTTACAAGTCGCAAGATTCCCTACTGCACAAGTCATAAGTGTTTAAAATTTCTATCTTCTTCCAAGTCGAGAAGCATGGGTCTC